ATTATAAATAGATAGGTTTTTAAAAAAAAAAACTACTATTGTTATAAATAACACATTCAATTGAACTAAACTGTGCATGCCTATTTAAATATATTTACACATGCCTTGTGTATATACATATATATTATTCATGCCTTTGGTGTATAGGATGCGAGCAGATTTTGACATCAAATTTTGGGGATAAAAAAGCGCGTCTTATACATAAAAAAAAATACGGTACGTCTCGAAAGTCATAAATTTCACAATTCATTGAAATTTTTTAAACTGATATCTATCATTAAGTTTGGAGAGCTAGTAATTTCACTGTTCATTAAAATTTTGAAACATACCTATCATAAAATTTGGAAAGCCATTAATTTCTCTGTTCATTAAAATTTTTGAAATATATGTCTCATAACATTTGGAGTGCTACTGACTTCACTATTTGTTAAATTTCTGAAATGTGGTATTTATCATTAAGGTTGAAAACCTGTTAATGTTATCAAGTTTTCTGAAACTAGGTTTTTATCATAAAGTGTGGAGAACCACTAATGTCATTGTTTCTCAAGATATTTTAAATGTTGTCTGTTTCATGAAGTTTGAATATCTATGATTCAGAGTAGGTATAGGCTGTGGGCTGAAATCTGTAGGATGCTTAAAAAGTAAATGTAGTGGTCCTTGTTTTGGGGGAGAGATTGGTAACCTGATTTTTGGCACACTAGTATTTGAGGTTGGTGCCCTTCAAAATCCAATAAGCTCCCATGTTTTCGTTTGAACATTATTTTTGGAAGCTTTTTTTGCTTTTTCCAGCACAGAAGAAAAGTATATCTTCTAATATTTAGTTAAGAAGTTGTATGATACATAAAATCATTTTACTTTTGGTTTTTTAAATATGTACTAGTGCATTACCCACAATAAAACATATAAATGTTACACGGTTTTACAATTTGACTATGTACAGACATTCTATTGATGAAATCGAAAAGAAAAATTAAAAGTCCTTCATTTTTAGGTTTGAAAATTTCAATTTCTTCAATAACTTTAGAACTAATATAAATATGTTACTTTGGTTTAGACTTTAAAAATTTCCCCAATCATTGTACATGTAAATAGAGAAGTGGTTAAGGCTCTTTCATATTTTGATTTTGAGTTATTCAATACATTTTGACCATACCATATAATATGATTATTTGAGCAAAACCAAAACCAAAAAAACAATAATTGATGAACTTTATATTTTTGGTAAGTTTACTGCTTATTTATATAATTTTTAAATATATCTGTCTATGGTTCTTACTTAGCATGTATTAGTTTGAAAAAAGAAAAGTACCTAAGTATGTGATTTGTGGCTTCTTAGCAACAAAATAATGTGCATAGCAACCAGACTGAATATCATAATGTATGCATTACATGTAATGTATATTTAAAAAAATAAAATATTTACATATTATTCAAGATAGACACACTGCAATATATATTATTATTCATGTATTATGTCTTTAATTTCATGACTTTTATACAGATTTTACTAGTGATTGTGCTGGTATCAGTATAATTGTCTTTACTCATGGTTTTATATTAGTCTGATTTTTCAAACATTCCAGTCTCTTTCAAAATTTGACATAAGGCTAAACATGGATGTCACTTATGTGCATGCAAAGCTGCAACGAACCTTGGAACCAACAAGTGAATGTAAAAACTTCTCTTCCATGTAAATGATGCAAATTTACAGAAGGATATATTGGTTCCTTTTAGTTGCAGTGACATCCTGGAAAGAAAAAAAAAGTAGCAACCTATCAATTTATGCATATTCTTCAGAAACTTGTATGCAAATGTGCTTACCACTGGATTAAACATAGTAGAAAGGAGACTTTAATGGTTTATAAATTGTCATGTTATGTTTAGGCTAACAGTTTAGCACACGTATCTTGTGTGAATTACTCTTGATATGTGGAAAGGAGTGGGTTCAGTATCATCTAAAGATACTGAAGGAATAGCATACATGTATAATTGGAAGTACTAGGCACCCATCTTTGATCAGTTAGCAAATTGGGACATGTATTTAGTCCTAGTGTCCACCCTCCTTCATTGCTATCCACTAAACAATCACAACCAGAGGTCAGGTTGCTTCGTTATACAGATTTTATATTTCTTTTTTTCAAATTTACCAAATAATGTATTAAAAGTTTAATGTTACATAATATTGTGTAAATTATATAACATTTGTGAAGCTAATTTTTCTTTGGGGTCATTCACAAATAACATAACCCTTTTTTAACACCAACAGATAATGCTCTTCTTGGGGACAAGCCTTTGGGTCATTATTTTAATGCTTCCTCCTTCTCTGGATATTGGAGTTCATGCGAGTCATTTTGGGGAGCACTTGCATTCAAGGGTTGGTATTTCTCAACTCCCACATACTGTGGCAGATCATGCTTTTGATTATCATCCTTTCACCTTCCCTTATTTGTACTCACAGTATTTGTGTCACTTCTCCCTTACTGTGGATTGGACCCTGATAATTCCATTACCTTTTCCTGTATTTGCCTTACTTTGACCATGCTTCTCATGTCAGGGCTGGTGGGGGCCAGATTCCTTCAATTTGCCTATGCTTAGGGGTTCTTGGCAGGCGATCTATGGGTTCTGAAAGTTGTTTCAGTAAGTCTGATTCTCTACTGCCATTTATCTTCCCTGTTGTCTCACAATCTTGTTTTCCTTCCCTCCTCCTCGTGTTCCCGTTTGTTTTTGTTTTTTTTCTTCACCTGATTCACTCGAGGGGCCTTTGTTTTCACTTTTCTATGAATGTATGGCTGATTCTTGCCTTCTCACAAGTCGACTCAGTCCTACATCCTCAGTTTCTTCTCCAGGACACTGTCATGATGGGTTTGCATGTCAAAGTGGAGCAATTGTTCCTCGCACCCATACAATTTTTGGTTCATCTCGGGATGTATTTTAACTCCCTCCTCCATCAGGACCTCCCACTTCAGTTGTGAGCTATGGAATGTCTCATATGCAGCATCTCTTCCTATCCTTCTCCTACTGTGTGAAAGATTCTTTCTCTTTTGGAGACATGGGCTTCTCTCAAAGCCCTCATTCCTCTTGGTTATGCCATCATGCATCATCATCAGTGGGTTTGGATAGGCCAATGGAGCCTTATTCGGGATCTCTACTATGACATTCTTAATCTTTCTTCTCCCTTACAGCCCGACTTTGACTGGTGTTTGGATCCAAACATTATTACTGTGGGTGTTCCTCTTCCTCCTCCTCATTTGGAATGTCATCTTTTATGGATGCTTCTTTTCCAGTTGGCGTATGTAGCTCTGTACTTGGGAGGTTTCAGAGCAGTGGTCTCTTTCAGAGTCCTCCATATCCATCTTGGAACTTTTTGCTGTTCGTCGGGCTTTCCTCCACTTCCTGCAGGCTCCTAGGGGCTGGTTCACTGACATTTTCTATGGTAGTCTTGTACATCACCTGGCAAGAGGCACTCAGTCACCAGACCTCAGTTTTGTTGCATTGAATCTCCTGTGTTTTGCTGATTGCTGCCCCATAACTTTGACGGCATGTCATTAATCCAGGTGCCCTGAATCTATTGTATGGTCTTCGAATATACCTGTTTTTTGGGTTTTATGTACCCTATGGGTTGTCCAAGCTTCAGATGTTTTTGCCACTCTTCTCAATACATCACTTCCCCAGTATTGGTCTCCTGTTCCTTATCCTCTGGCAGGAGCAGTCGATGCTCTCAGTCGGGATTGGTTGGGTTGGTACCTACATGCACATCCTCCTATTTGTCTCCTCCCACATGTCCTTATCATACTTCAGACCACACCATGTAGTATTTTGCTGCTGGTTACTTATTGGCTGGCTCACATGTTTTCCACTGCTGCACCGGTTTTTGGTGTCACCTCTCTTTCTCTTCCTCTATCTGACATTCCTCCACCAATTACACTAGCATGCATCTTATGTCTGTATCTGCATTCCATCTTCATGCATGGCTTTGTCCAGTCTCTCACCTGAAGGGCTAGCTTCCTTCATTTTATGTCCTGTTTTTTATTCCTCTATGGTGGTTTACATATGTATGTGGTACACATACCACTTTTGATCTGTCCTATGGAGTTTTAGTCCTTTCCATCCTATGGTTCCTCACATATCATCCTTTTTGAACAAAGCCTTTCAGTTTCCTCTGTTATCTACTACTTTTTGGCTTACCAACTTTCCTTGTGTTCTCTAATTGCCAGTCTTAACCATGTTCTTTTATTCCTTCCATTTTTCCTATCCTCCACACTCTGCTTCCCTTTCATATTTGCACCTCTGTGTGGTTCTTCATGTTTTTCCCTGTCGTCCATTGGACCTTTTGTCAGTATGTTCTTTAAATCTTCTTTCCTTGAAGTTCCTGTTGTTGGAAAGCAAACATTGTCATTCTGATGTGTTCCTGATTGATCTGCACATCATTTTTGTTTTGTTAGCTCCTATGTTTTCCTCTTTTTGTATCGTTCCTTTATGCCCAAGACTTCGGCTACTCAAGAGGGTACTTCTCCTTTCACACCTTTTTCCCTTCCTTCTTTTCCACACCTTTATGACTGATGCAATCCCACTCACCTCCTTTGCCCAGTCAGGGCTCTTTCATGGCATATGACATACTGCTCCTTTCATGGTTCCATTTGTATCTTCTGTGAAATCCTTACCTCTCCTGGGACCTTTTTTCCTTCCAATTTGAATTTGCCAGTTAATTTGCCTGGCATTTTTCTTTCCTTTCCCCTAATGATTATTGCCTTTTTCATGTTTTCTTCCCATCAGATTTGTCATCTTACCATATCCCTGGCTGCACATTTACATCTTCCATTGGGGGACATCATCAGTGCTGTAACTTTTTTATCTGTGGGTGATAATACTCCAATCATTTTCTTTTTCTTTGAATGGGCCTTTATTGCATATTTGGATCCCACACTGTGATGAGTGTTGCCTGACCAGTTATACCAGTCTTAAATCTACATTGTATGACCTGTGTTCATATATCACACTAGATGACTGGGACATAAAGGCTCTTCTTATCACGGACCTGATGTACAATTCCAGATGCTGCCAGGTGTTGGGTGCTCAACTCCATCAGTGTGTCCTCTATACATCAAAATACAATATCATAACACGTCACAAGGTCATGTTACACACACTGTTGAGATGGGGTGTTCTGCAGGACTGCTTGTAGGTATACTTCATGGTCTGTTGCTTCATAAATATGTTCGTTTTGAACCGTACACTCATGGACGAACATGAGTAAAGCAGACAGCTACAACTGCCCATCTCTGATGATCTGTGGCATTGAGCCTCTTCCTTCCGTGGATCTGATGTACAATTCCAGATAGCACCAGGTGTTGGTTGATTTACTCTGTCGACATGATCACTCTGTTTTTCAAAATAGGGTATCATGGTCATCCCTTGCACTATCTCTGGTGTTGTGGTTCTCCCATTTCTCCAATGCAATTTTTTTCCCTTCTTCTTCTAGTGGAGTAGGGGAGTCCTTGGCACTTACCATTTCCTAACTACTCATCCCGAGTGTGCACAATACCACTCAGTTGATGATACCCTCCTCCTATTGCAGACTTTACAATAAATTCCCAATGCCACTGGGTTTTGTACTGGAGATGCAACCCCAAATAGTGGTCCCTCTTCCTACTGTTCTCTGGATGTTGGTTCTCAGTGGATCTGGTGTTGGTTGTAGCTGGACGTGACACATGAATTTCCACATGTGTAAGGCAGGGTACCTTCCTCCTACCATGGAGTGAGTGAAAAATTCTCAATGCAGCTAGGTTTTTGGACACACATCTGGACTTTCTACCATCTGCCGGATGTCTGTTCCTTGTGGATCTGATTTCGGTTGTGTTGGAGATGCATGCATGCAGAGGTGGGTTCTTGGTACAGTAGGTCCTCTTCCCTGCCGGTACCCATTTTTGAGACGAAAGGTAGAGGACCCTCTTCCTACTGTGGACCTGATGTACAGTTCCAGATGCTGCCAGGTATTGGTTGAGGTCGAAGTCCCATTTATGGTCTGTTGTGCCCTAGCCACTCTACACCAGGGGTCCTATTATTTCTGTAATTTTTTTGGTAGGGTACCTCCATTTTTCCACCTTTTTTGGGGACACATTACTGAAGGACAAAGAATATACCTAGCTCAGAAGTGGTATAGTCTCCAATGGGTGTGTTGTTTTTAATTACTTCTTACACCCTATGGTTTTCCTTTGGGCACTTCCTAAAGGGGGGATCATCTTCTCACCGGTCCTCCACTGGATCAATGTGGGATTCTAGCTTTTTAATAGAGAAGGTAAGATATCGTATCAGAAGTTAACATTTTCCTAAACTGAAAATGTATTTTCAATTGGTACCTCATTTTTTACCCATCCTCCCCACATCCGGTGTGGTTTAGTGTGATCTGACCAATCTTGAAGTGGTTAACAGCTGCAAGATTAGAGAGGGCACTAAATACAATTAGGGTAGTGTTGCACTCCTCTTGGTGGAGGGTTGCTGCATAGTTATTTGCATGTTAGCATGCAGAAATAAGTGAGAGTATCAAGGCTAGTGGTGAGTGAAAATTTGCCCTGATAGAGGGCAGTATAAGTCGAGAAAGCAGAGGCAAGTATCTATTGGAAATACATCTTCAGTTGGGGAAGATGTTAACTTTCATTACTTATAAAAAAAATAATAATAATTGAAAAGTAGAATATATTTAGTTTTATGCTGAAAATTTAATTAGATGAATCTTTATCATCTGCTACCAGTTTTTTAATAATATGTTAAATCTCAATGTTGTTAAATTCTGATTGATTTTATAAAATTAATAAAATATTCAATATGTGATTTATTGAACATCATGGTTGACCTGTTCTTAAATTTTGGCAGAGGGTCCAGCTGTAGCAGTATGCTTATAAATGTAGTGTACCAAGATTTGTTTAGTTTTTATAACTTCTTGGTTATATCTGTTCAGAAATGGTCTCATAGTTAGTGATGTTGGATTTTGTATAAATGGTTTTTGCCTCTCTATTTGTGGCTTTTGTGACACTGTGGTACTTGAGCAGAAAATGTATTATGGAGTTAAACTAAGTTCTCTTGATTTTGACAGAGTTGTGATAAAGAAGGAGATTGGGCACAATATAAAACAGATTGAAAACAATCTATTAAATTCACAAAACAATAAAAGGTAACGAGTGTGTATATACGAAGGATAGCACCTTTTTCGATGGTCAAAAACTCTGAAAAATCTGCAGATCTCTGTGAAGAACATTATGTAGATCAGTTCCAGACTGGTAAAACATAGCAATATATGTATATGTATTCTCAGGGCGTATGCTCTACCTACATCATTCCAATCAAAAATAGATGTTGTATCCTCATGGTATCACCTGACCTACCAGTAGAAAAAAAAGTTGCTGCTTGTCTTTACTTATGTGTATACTTTTAATACAGTAATCTTACTTATGAGAAAGTACACATGATACCATAGATGAAATAACCCAGAATAATATGGAACTAGGCTGAAAGAGCTTAGCCACTTCTTTGACCAGTGTTCTACTTTAAATCTACGTATACATTTATGTAAGAATGTTTAAAAAAGTTTTATGTGAACTTCAAGATGTCACTTTGTTCAATAAAGGTGGTAGATAATATCTTGTACACATATATGCTGCAATATAGTTGATAGTTTGTGCTTGTTGAGCAGAAATTGTGATTACTCATCAGAACAACATTGGATGTGTTATTTTAAGGGATTATGTGTTTGTAATTCTTATATTCCCATCTCAGATTCTGAAATGATCTGTAGTCCTTGTGTTTAACTTAGTGACTACAGCAAACTGATTATTTATTTTTCTCATCTTCCACAGGTTACATAGAAAAAGTGATGAAAAGGCTATTTGACATCCCAGAAAACAAAGAAACCAGAATGTGGATTAAGTCTAACAGCAACACTTATGACTATTTAAGCAGCAAAGACACTGCTATTGAGGATTCAATCATCTGTCAAGGACAGGTATTTTTTTTATTTCTTAACAACAAAAAAAAGAAAGTAATTTCGTTTATTTTGTTTAAAAGCAAAATGAATGTTATAGAACAAAAATGTTTAATTTTCTAGAAGTATTTATATTTGTCTCAAGTTTGAAATTGTTTCTGTTCTCTAGGTTTTGGTCATAGAAAAGCAGAATGATGATGGAACTTGGCCGAGGCAACTCAAAAGGTAAAGTTAAAAATTAATGTTTTACTCTTCTTGATTTCATTCATATATATATAAAAAAAAGCAGAGAGAGAGATTTACTGTAATGTTTATAAAGCCTGCTTTTCCTAAGAATATTTTTCCATGATTTATTATTTCTCTGTTTATTTAACTAACTGTTATATTACAATCACAAAGATACATGTGTTAATAGTGTGCCAAACATAGAAATGCTGGAGCAAAAAACTGTCTTTAAGTAGCATATTGTTAACTTTGTTATTGCCATTTCGACCTGAAACTCAACTTGAGATTATATCACTCTAAAAAAATAGCACATAAAAAAGTATAAAAAAACGTCACTAACAAGGCATTAATTTTTTTATATTTCAAAGAGATCTTAATTTGCAACAATTATTATGCCCAGCACAGATATACGACTTCACCATCCTATTTGACAAGTGCAAAGAGAGTATCAGAATAATTGAAATGGTAGTGTACCTCAGAAAATTTAGCCTGTTTCACCAACTGCCCTAAAAACTTGTTATTGAAGCTAAACACAAACAAGGATTATAATTAAGAAAAAAAAATATATAGATCAGGAAAAAATAATGATTAACATCAAATCTGTTAGGTGAAGGTGCTGAGGTAAGCTAATATTACCTGGAAAAAAGTGCAACATTTTTCCTACAACCAAGTCAAAGTATGCTTATCGTGGCCGTTAACAGTATTACATTCAAAATGTAATTAAATAACTTTGTCATAAATGTATGTCAATAAACTTGGAGTGAAATTATAGTTTATAATTCAAGTTTTTATGTTATCTAAGTATTAACTTTTTGAAAAAACCTCAGTCTTCATTTTTCTATGTCAAATGATTTGGAAATGTTTATAACCAAAAGAAAGAGCAGATTCACCTGTACATAAATTTACATTCAGTTTTCCCACTGTTATCTTTCATTCAAAGAAGATTGCTTGGTTTTTTTGATCAGATTTAGTGTTCTGAAAGGTGACAATTTTTTAACCTATTTATAGTTTACTTAAAAGGTCAGTTAAATTGTAGTTTTTGGGCATTCTATTCTAGTGCCTGATATATTTTTTGTGTTCTAAAATGCATATATGAAAGCTACATGGACTTTTTTTTTTATACACCCAAATTTGTGACGCACTGAGGCTTAGGGGAGAACATCAAATATTTTTTCTTGAATTCAAACAGCTTGAATAGAAAATGGGTATTAGAAATCCTTGTTTTTATGTATATTTTTTATTTATTGTTATATGCTTTTTAAAAGTACTAAGATGCAAAAATTATAAACTTCTCAGGTTAGCTTAACAACACTACCAAATAATGGTTGGAGACGCCTTGAGTGGGTAATGAAGAAAAACTTTAATATAAGTTTAACATAACAGCAAATATACAACGTTTCGACAAGGTTTTGTCATCATCAGGTACGAGTAATTTACACTGACACGGATATATATATATATATATATATATATA